GTATGGCATGCATCTATAGCGTATGTGAAAATATAGGACATTATTAGCTATGCTGTTGCTCTATACAACAACAAAAGTGGCTTGTATTTAGTGTTTTGAATTATTTGCTGGTTTGCATGAACTAAAAATATTACCTTTTTATACAAAATATTACTAATACAATTTTACAGTCACAGATTGATTTATTTTACATTTTAAAATAGAACTCAACTCAGAGCTCTACACTTCCCAGTACCTCAGCTGGAATAAATCAGACTAGTAAAGACACAACCTCTGTTGATGATGTAGCTGTTATCACTGAGAAGCTAGAGGAGTTACAGAGTTACCTACCACAGATGTCTAAAATGATAGACAAAATGAAAGCAAGTGGTCCATCCAATCAACTGAACAAATTGAGCAATTTGTACAAAGTAATACTAACCAAGACTACAAGGTAATAAGCACATACCCATTACATTTTCTAATTATCCAATTATAGCATTAGCATGAGCACATTAGAAAAAAGTCATGTTGTTTTGAAGAGAATGTTTCCAGAAGACTCATCTAGTGAGTGGTCGCATTTATTATTTTCTAAATTTATAATTATAACAGATACTAATAGCATTAAAGACAAGGCATCTACAAATGCTACATTTGCAGAAATCGGTAAGTAAAGCTATGACTTATGTATATAATTCTATTGTTTATCATAGATCAAATATATCTTCAAGAAGCAATGGAAGATGGCCTTGTTGAGTCTTTTGTCACCAAAGCTGTAGTACAAGGAGAAGCTCGAGTAGGCAAGAGTTCGGTGAAATCACTACTTGTTTCTGAGCCTTACACTGATAATACCAGCACTAACTGTATTGAACCACCATGTGTAGCTGTTAAGTGCTATGGACAGACTGGAAAATACTGGGAACGAATCGATGAAGAGGAAATGGGAATAAAAGTAATTGCTGCAGTTCAGTTAGGTGCTATGAAAAAATCAGAGTCTCAATCTCATTCTGAGGAAATGGATCTTGATAGTAAAAGCATATCCAATACTAGGAAGCAACAAAGGTATCCATCTAAAGCTTCCAAGTTTCAAAATGAAAGTGTTAAAGATTTACAACGCATGGAATATGATTTTTCCAATTCTGCAGTCACTA